ACTGCTTCAGACTATTGATTTCAGGCAGTTACCCATTAACACACAAGCAAGGGACAGAGCTATGGGTATTTAAATATGGAAGAAATCTATGCATAAGTGTGTTTAATGAACAATAGCCCCAGGTAGAAGTAAACACATTGGCCAGGTCCTTGCGAGGCCTACCCGACTGCCACTGGCCAGTCAACACCTTATAGACTCAAGATACGGCTTTTCCATATGGCAATGTCTAACAACATATATCCACGGCAGTACAGGACGAACAAACTCACAATGCAATACCCTTTCCTGTAACTTCCTTCCAAAGCATCCCCACCCAAAAAGAGGTATTTCTGGGTTTCCTCTGCCACCTGCAGTGCTGTGCATCAGTGCCACTGCCAAGAGTGGTTGTGGCAGACTTTGAAAGGCAGTGAGCGAGGCGTGAAAGCTGGCTGTGAAGATGTGTGTCTGCTCTACACAGCATTTCTAGGAAACTTTGAGTTTTTGTGCCTGCTGAAAGCTCTGGGGGAGGAGAGGGGAATGAGGAGAAGCAGGGGAAAAGGAGCAGGCAGCAGGGAATTTGACTCTTTTGCCCACGTCTGGGATCTGCCTGCCTTCTCCAGGCACCTGGAATAGCTGTCAGAATCCAACATATATGATTCAAATTTAATTTAAATCTACACGTTCTGTGGTTAAGCTGTCAGGTGCACTGTGAGCTGCTAATGGCTGCTGAGATCAGCCCCACTGCTATGAGGTCACATGCTACAGGTCTCTTTTCTGGTTCTCACTATGTTCCCTGGACCATGTGTACCTGTTGCCTGACCCTGGAGGGGGGGTAGGCTTGACTTGCTGTCCCGTACTGGATATCCTATGAGATGCGTATAGAAGGTGGTGCAGATACCCTTACACCGTGGGTTTGCTGGGGCAATCCTCATGTGAGTTGTGATGCTGCTGTGACCTCTGACTGTGGCCTCCCACCACGACACTGTGGCATCGCTGTCACTCCATGGTGGCAGTGCCAAGGACCATGGTATCATGTATAAGGGCTTTTTTGGTTTGTATTCCCAAGTTTCTCATACCTCTGAGATCATTTCCTCCTGAGGCAGGCTCCACTTGCTGTTGAACAAACATTATCAGGTCCCCTTCACTGCTGCTGCACGGCAGGGGAGCTTTGCTCTGTGTTTGGACGGTGTCAGCACAGGATGGGTCTGACATCGCGGCACTTCAGTTCTTTGTTTTCCACCAGGATCTTGGGGACAAGGGAGGGAGGAGGATGTGGTGACCTGCATAAGCTTGTGCTGCTTGGATCCTGATCTCGTGCCCTAAACTGCGTCAGATGTGCTGCATATGGCTAAACTGTGTTTGGTATAAACAGCCAACAGGTCACTTAACTGTATCTTTCGTAAGTCTGTGTAAGAAAGGCTACCATAATTGTCTAGAAAAAAACAAATACATTTTCTTTTTTTTTTTCTTTTTTTTAAACCTAGTTAATTTAGATATATTTGTTTTTCTTCCCAGAAGCACTTTTACTGTGCTTTCAGCATAGCTTTTTGTGCTTGGCCATGACTCTATTTTGCCTGTATAATGAATTTTAAGAGTTTTCCCCTTATACCAGTTCACTTGAAGGCAGTATAAAATGTCTCTAGCCTTTTCTTAGGCTTCCATACCCCTGATAATAACTTACATATACTGTTTTAAACATCTTTTTCTATGATAATTTAAGAAACATTATTCCAGTGGTGCAGTCTGATTTTGGCCAGAGCACTTCTTTTTAGAGCATAATGGGTCTGGGAGTATGCTGTCCTGTCCAGATGATACTATCTCAGCCAACTGGCCTTAATAACTGTATTACAGGGTTTCATTCTATGACACTCATAGCCTCTTATTACTATTATTTTTTTTAATTATTTTTTGCCAAAAAATTCCCTGACCTCTTACAAAACTGGAGTGAGGTCACTTAGCTCCAGACACTTAGCTCTCGGCTCTTCTGTTCAAGGTCACATCTCCCCTTGGGAGGTGGGTGAGCCGGGCTTGGCATCCTGCTGTGTTTCCCTGCTCCCTGATACTCCTAGAGTCATTTGTAGTTGGTCACAAAGAGTAGGGGGGGGGGGGGTGGAAACTGAGATAAACCAGGTGGGTCTTAAAGACCTCCATAGTGCGGTGGTTTGCTTTCAGAAAGAAAGGCTCCAGGTGCTCTTAGTATTTATTGATGTTAAATAGCAGCATGAGTAGGCAAGTCTGTTCATCAGAAGAATAAAAGCAACATTTGTCCACTTGCCTGATGTCTTCCTGAGCCAGTTAGCAACTAAATGAAAAACCAAGGAAGGAATTAGTGATCCTGTGACAGCGATCGTATTGGTAGTTAATGCCTTTACCAGGAAGATGAAGGCATTACAAAAGCATATCCTGAACGCTTGTCTGAGAGCACCCATAAAAGAGGAAACCTCTACATTATACAACAGATAGGGCAAAGAGGGGAGGTCTCAGCTGTGTTTTGACCAGAAATTTCTTGCTAGACCTGAGAAATATTTCCCAAGGACAGTTTAGATGAGATTGGCTTGGTTCCATGAAAATATGAAGTTCTGACAAAAGACAGATTTGTTCAAAATTTTCCATCCTGAAATATTTCCTCTCTTCCCAGAATACGAAGAAATGAGGTGAAAACAACCTCATATTTTCTAGGGAAGAGGAGGGGTGTCTCCCATTTCTGAATGAATGTGGCTTCACAAGTCCAATTCTTACTCATGAGTCTACTCAACACACTTAATTTTATTAAGCAAAATAAACTTCCAGTTAAAGGCGGTTTTGTATGAGATCAGGAAAAGGCGAGGAAAAGTTTGAAAAAAAAAAAAAAGTGAATTTCTGTAGCACTGGCTACAGCCTACCATGTCTGAAAAGAATGGCTTGATTATTTTTTCTGCAAATAGTTCTTTTTCATGTAAGGTCTATGTTAATGGTGTGGCAGGGGATTAAAACTTGGCTAATGATTTCACTATTTTATATAGATTGAAAATATTTTTTAAAAAGTAATTGAGAGTTAAATGCTGTGTTGCTTATCTAAGTGTTCAACCAAGGAAACCTTAGCTCTACTCTTTCACAGACTATTTCCCATTATGGATCTCTGCTAATATTAATATATATTTAATAAATATATTTCATTTTACCTGATTTGACTTCTGATATCATTGTGGAGCAGAGTCAAAGATGTATATTTCCATAATATTCATTTCTTTATCTTAACAGGTTTATATTTCTTTTAAACATAAACTTTACTTTATTCCTTACAACATTCCCAAGTCATACCCTATTCCAAATTACCAAGACTAAAACTTTAAGATGTTTATTATAGCTTTTACAATTAGATTCAATGAGGCACACCAGTTTTTACCTCACAATGTAATACATAGAAGATAATTAAACTGGTTTTGCAACTGATACTGTTTTACCAAGGCAGTAAAGAACACTATATAGCTTAAAAATCAGACATCAGTTTTGTCCCACCACTTGTGCCACCCCCGATCCTTTGTGTGTTGCTGCATTCACCACACGTGAATGCACACTACTGCTTGTGGGATAACGTCTTTACCATGCAGTTATGTATACAATAATGCACATATACATGTGATCTTGCATAATGTCTGCTGAGGAGCTCTGGTTCAATGGCCATATTTCACTGAAGTCATTTCTGATTATAATCTTTGTTTAAGCCTAAATTTCTCATCTGTGGTTCATTTGCCTTCTCCTCTTCTATTAGGAGTGGTCATCAGATCCCAAGTTAAAAATAAGTTTGAAGACTGGAACAACCTTTATGGCAGGGTAATATTTTTTATGGTAGAAATAAAGGCACACACATTCCTGAGAAATAGGTGCATCTTAGTCAAACCTGACATGGACTGAGACTCTAGGTCTGACCCCAGAGCTGCCCTTGCTTTGAGTTGAAGGTGGGACCAGCAAGCTCTGGAGGTCCCTTCCAACCCAGGCAATCCTATGATCCCACAACTGCTAATTGTGTTCATTGTTTTTTGCTTCACAGTTTATGCACGAAGCATTTGCCCAAGTCACTTCTAGTTGCAATACCAACATACCTCAAAAATAATCTGACAACATCTGCTGGTCTATTAAAGTTAAGCAGTTATTCTGTTAAGTGAGCATTAACATAAGGGTTTTAATTCCAGCCAAACACATACAAAATGCCTATCTTCTAAATAATAATATAACATATGTAAAGGAGGTGCTCCGTGGCTATAAGTACTTCAAACAAAAGCTGAGTTCCTAGATAGCTTTCTATTACTCATGAAGGATGTCTTTCCATTTCACTAAAAATTAAAGAGTCTTCATTATTCTAATGTACGAAGTATGTCATGGTCACTCTGTGCAGCTGACACCAAAGTCTTCTGCAGTGTGCTGTGAGACTTGCAGGTGAGAGTGCCAGCTGTCAAGATAGCAAGTCTGACTCCTAAACCCCTGCAGAAGACTCCGGTTGGTCATCTTTACCACCTGATAACAAACATGACTTGGACATGGTTAGATCAGTCTGGATTATACCATCTTTCTCTGGGGAAAAAAAAAAGTAAAAAAAAAAAAAGTGGAAAAAAACACAAATTTCCACACTGCTTATATCAAGGACTGGGTTACCAGCAGGCCAGTGCTGGACAAAAACTACGTTCAGCTTTGGCTTCAATCCTTACTGGGTTGTTAAATTTCTATGAATTTTCTCCTCTCTGTAAGGGAGAACAAAAGCTGGGACAGTTACTCACTGCAGGTAAAAGAAAAAAAAGAATATTTTAGCTAAATTTAAACTGTTAAAAATGGCTGAATAAAGTAAGCTAGAAAGCAAAATGTTCAGAAAAGATTACTTATGCAACTAATTTTTCAAGTAGGTGCACTGTACTATTTCTTATCACCTTAGAATCTGTGCCCTAAGGCTTACAAGAAATAGGGATTGTGGTTGGGAAATGAGAAGGGGATATTGTGAAGGAACCAAAAGCTTTCATTTAATAATTAAGTTCTTTTTGATTTGACAGCAACAGTGGTGTAAGGAGAAGTTGACCTGATTTGAGAAGAATTGAGAGTGGCTGTGAACTTGAAGGTGGGGCTGGATTTATGCAAGTCATGCAAATCTAGACTAGTCTAAAATCTGATGACGGATTGCTCTTTCAAAGACTTATTCAAGTGGGTGCATTTATGACCATTTAATAATATGGAATCTTATTCATAATCTCCCATGCTGCCTACCCATTCATGCACTGAATCATAAAGTAATGTAACTTATTTTCTGAAGGAAGGGACTTCCTGTGAAAATGGAGCTATAGGCAAATAAATAAAAAAAATAATTATCAGACACTTAAGAAAATGTACATCTTTTTTTTTCTGGCTTCCAGTTGTCCCAGTAAATTTTGTAGTTATTGAGAATGAGCAAACATTTATTATGTGCTTGGGGATAGTATATCCTTTCTCTCAAAATCTAATCTTTTCTCAAACCAACACTTAGAAGGTGCTGAAAAAAATACTTCCTCAGTCTATCTTCCAGTGCCTGGTCTGTAAGGGGGAGAGGAGTAAAAAATCTGTATTATGGGCTGCTCTTTAGTATCTTACCACGACTGAAAGCAGAAGTGATAGAAATGTCATGGGAACTTTTTCTAGTAAGCTTCCCTGTCCATTTTTGTAAAGTCAGGAGATGCAGATAAGACTTTCTGTTTTTCAAAATTAATTTCTAAATCTGATATTGAGTTATAGAAAAGTGTTTCAAATTGTTTCCTTGTACTGAGAGTCCCAAGGTGCTGTTTAACATTTAATAAATTGTGTTGATTTTTCAGTTGCCTAACAAATTAAATATAGCAATGGCTTTGTATCTATCTTTCCATTGCACCATACTGAAGATGGAGACTGGAAGTACTGCTGAAATAGCTGTCCCTTGTTCTAGTAAAGGACATAAACTTTGCATATGATATTTGCAGCAGAAATTTATGCAAGGCATGTGCAACTTCACCAATGTCAAATGTGATGCAATAGCTGGTGTTGTGGACCCAGCTGTTGAATAAGCAAGTTTTTAAGAGTATCATAGTAAATGCTTGGTGTTTGCATAAAAGGTTTAAAGAGAGTTCTAAGTTTTAATATTTGCAACTGAGTATGACTGAGGGAGTCACTTTCAAGATGAAACCATCTTCCCCAAAGAGGAATCTGGGGGATTTTAATTCTCTATTCACAAAACCTTCTTTTACGAAATTGAAGGTTTGATTATTTTTGTTCTGTAAAGAACCTACCCTAAGTAAATAGGTTTTGTTTTCTATTTTGTCTCTGACGGTTTCCAGGATAACTTCTTTTTGTGCTAAAAGGCTCAAAGCATCAGTCAACAGTGTCTTCTAAAAGAATATTCTGGAAATAGATGTTTCCCTCCTCCACGCCTGTTTCGTCCCCCAGGAGAAAACAAAAATCTGCCCCCCAGGGAGGCAGCAGACTAGTCAGACCAGATGGAGGGTAGGGCTTGGCAAGGAAATATTGAGGAGGAATGGTAATTGGAGTATTTAATGTGTTTCAAAATAATCACTATTAAAAATAAATAAATAAATGAAATTAGTGTGTCGGAGTGTGATGCTGCATGTCCCAACCAGCTGCTTTAGGAAGGAGTGAAGGTCTGGTGATACAGGGTATGAACTGCTGCAGAAGGCTGCAGTCCAGAGGTGTGCTCCAAATGGAGAGGGGCTTATGAACTTCAATCCAGAAGGGAATTTGGCAAGTAAATAAAGCAGCAGCACCTTGAAGTGGTGTGCCATTTGAGCATGCTGGGTTTTGAACTGGCATTGGTGGTTCCTATCTCTGTTCCCAAGGACCAATCCCTAAGGAGCAAAGTCCTAGCAACTCTGATTGTCCAAGTGCAATCAGAATCTGTTACAAGAATGTAACTTCAAAGAAAAAAAAAAAAAGAAAAGGAAAGCACTAAATGCCTCCCAAAGGACCCTCAGAAAGGTATAATGGTGAGATCTGCCATACTATTTAGCAACCTCATTAACAGGCATTAATGAAGTCCTGACTCTTGATTACTCTGCAAATCGGAAAATAACTGTATTGAAGACACCAAGCCTGAGTTTAAGAAGCATTTGGACTGTGCTGTCAGTCATATGGTCTGAATTTTTGGGTAGACCGGTGTGGTGCCAGGAGTTGGACTCGATGATCCTTATGGGTCCCTTCCAACTCAGGATATTCTGTGATTTTATGATTCTGTGAAGAAGAGGTGGCCTAGGAAATCTTTTTTCACTTCTGATCTCAGTTTCAAATATTGTGTCAGTCTGAAAAGGTATAAAAATAAAATGACTGTAACTACATGTATAACATGTAGAAAGAGATGACCATTGTGTGTAGAGGCATTTAGTAGAAAGCAGGGTTACACAGTTTTGTTTCTCAGAGGTTAAACAGTACAAGCAGCAGATATTAGGGGAAAAATCTTCATGCTCTGTTTCCTGATTTTGAAAGCAAACTCAGATAGCTCTTCCGCTTCTGAATTACATAAAGACTGAAGTTATCTGCGTTTCAAAATCCTCCCAAGACAGCCCAACAGCTGTGTTGGAAATAAAGACAAAAATTTCACACTAACTAACTGTTGGTTATGGGATAATTTTTAAATAGTATTTAATTCAGATTTATTTTTCTGCTAGAGAATTAAATGCTCAGATAAATAATTTGAGCAAACTCTTATAAATCCAAATTTAAGCAGCTGACCCGTGGGCCCACTTTCCAAAAATAACTACTTCTGTTCCTTTGCAGGTTCCTGCCCTTAGTTTCAGTGCTGGCAGCTCCCTGGTTGCCTGATGCTGCTGGTTGCCCTCAACTCTCAGATTCAGCGTAGCAGTGTTGGGTAGGTACACTTGCAAGGGCTGAGATGGCTCAGTGTGGTGACTCTTCAGTTTCCCTATGGGCCTGTAGAAGCCCAGAATTCTCCTACTGAGTGTCAGAGACCCTTTATAGTTTAATGAAAAATGAAGATCTGATATAGACTGAAGATTATTGAGAATATCCAAGATCATTTACTGTACAGTAATGTCAGGTTACATTTTTTATTATTTTATATCTTTTGTCTGATCTGTAAAAGAACCTACTAATTTATTGTCACATTATGAAATTTGTTGCTTACCAGTTAAAATGGGTCTGTTATAATGACAAACACTGAAATGTTTCGATAAAAAAACAGTGAAAAGAAGCTGGTTTTATTGTTCCATGGGGAAAAAAAAAAAAAAAAAAGAAGTACTTCAGTCCATTTCCAATTTAGAAACACATTCTTTCTGCTTCCACTGAAATTCTCTACATTATAAGATCTGAGCCTGATTTACATGGAATGGACTCTATTTCCCTACATCAGAGGAAATAATACCTTTTTAACAGCTCCTCTAAGATATGATCAGATCATCAATATTACATCACAATCTTGTGTAAGAAATAGTATTTCATAGCTCAACAAGCTCAACACATTTTTATTTTAATTATTACCTGTGACTGTTACTTAGCAACTCTGCCATTATTTGTTAAGCAGGATTAATTAATATTCTCTAGGCAACAGGCTTTATAGCCACAACTGAAAGGATATCAAGTTGTGTCGATTCTCAGGGTAAGGTTTTGACGCTGCTTAAGAACATACCTGGAATTGATCTTGCTGTTTTTAGCCATGTTTTGTTTCTGTTACAGCTCACTGAAGCTTTTCAGGGCTTAAAATCATTCAGAAAAAATGCTTGGCTGGGTTTTTACACAAAGCCGTTTGACTTCTTGGGGTCTTGGTCTCACCTATCTTTGAAGACCTGCCAGCATAAATTCAGAAATATCCTCATTAATAGTCATGCATTACAGTGTTGCACTAGGCAAAATGTATACAATTGTTCCTTGATGAATGCTTATGAAAATATTTTCTTTGGGTAGACCTTCATGCTATAGTGGTAAACAAGACAAGGCAATGTGCTGTTTGGGGAACATGCCTTCTCCCACTGACAACCATCTGCCCATGATGCTCAGTGTGATGAACACTGCTTTCAGTTGGTTCTGTCCTTTTTTGCCCACCTTTAGGGCAAGAAAAGGGTAAAAAGTTTCATGTGCTCTCATAGAAAGGTCTACTACAAATGCAGTCATTTTGCAGAAAATGAATGGGTGTTAAAATTGCTTGTCAGCAGGGCAGGTTTGAACAAGGATGCTTGCACACACCTATATCCACTACTGTGTAAGCCTAAAGTAATGAGCTACACCTGGTTACCATGAAAAAATAGAGTGCAAAGCAAGAATGAATTTTCCACAGGATTTACTCCTCTACTTTTTGAGTGCATTGTTTTTATCCTTAGATAGAAGCACGAACTAATACTTTTCTAGTGTATTAAGCAAAGAAGCGAGGCTCTTGAAAGCTGCATGCTCATAGTTATGTGACACTTTTTCAGTGTTTTTCTTGAAACAGCTATTAATTAACATTAAAAAAAAAGATACCAGGATTACAGTTGGTTAGAAGATGTGATATATTTCCAATTTTTAAAAATTTATTAAGACTCCTTATTTTTCAATAACAAGTTTAGTGGATTTTTTTCTTCTTTAGAAATCTTTCAAACTCTATTTTTTGTAACCAAAACTAAAAAGTAAAGGAAAACAGGTATTTCCTTATATTTTATCTTTCTGAGATCCCTGTTTTTTAAATCTACAGGCACCCTAGTGCAAATCTGATTGAAGCCCTTACATAAAAAATTTACCCAGTATTTTCATTATGTGCTTGAATAGCATACAGACAATGGTGACAGAGTGAGGTGGCCCAAAAAATCAGATATGAAAGATATGAAAGTCAGAGGGAGTTTCTGTAGATGTACCCTGCAACAGACCAGATACTGAATTGGTATGCAACAGATTGGTTTCAAAGTAGATGTTCTGAACATTATTTGCCTCCTTCCCACAAATTAGGAGTTTTATGTGTTTGTTTTTTTTTTTTGGTCTGATGACTAATATGTACTGGATAAAGTGCCTTGGCTTGCCCAGCACTGAGGAACCAGCATGGGGCAAGCTCAGTGATAAACCAGTGAGATCTCATGATCTGTAGTATTGTCCCTGTTCTGATGGTGGTCAGCTCTTGACTTGCCCAGGCCACATCCAACTGTTTGGTTTCTCAAGGTAGGTGAAGATCTTAATAGTGGCTATAAGGGAATGCTAGGACTTTCACTTAGTCTCATGTTTTACAGCCAGAAAAAAATCCCAGAAAGGTACATTGGAAAACTTCTTGTGCTACTCCTTCCCTTCTTCTCTTTCTTGACATCTAGTTTCTTGTTAGTCTCATTCCTGAACAGCAGATGTGGAATGTAGTGACTTTTTTTGATTGTCAATATTAATTTAAATGTATGGACCAATCATGTTGCATCAAAGTATAACATTATTTCGAAGCTGGAGCTCCAAATGAAAGGAAATGAGCACTCAGCTCTTGCCAAGGAGCATTTTTTTCTCAGTGCTATGTTTCCTGTGATGCTACTACATTTCTGCCTTGCATACTTTTAGGCTCTTTGCATGTCTTTTAGTGAAAAAGTTAGGATTTTTCTACCCACCTCTGTTTCCATATTTATTGCACAGAGCTATGGCTTTTCTGCCCAGTATATATCCTTGTATCTTGCAGATTTTTTCTGGTCTTCCAAATAAAACAGCATGTCTTTGCAAAATGGTTTTCCAGTGTTGCTCAACAAAGTCAGTAGAACATGCAAGGAACAAGAAAGGATATCAGTCCCCCTATCAGAACTGGCTCCTTTGCCTGTGTTCCCTCTCTTGTTCACATCCTTCCTATGGGTTGGACAAACTACCTGATGATTTTTTTAATGGGTGTGCTGAAACCAAAAGGTTATTTTCTAGCAAAGCAGAAGTCTCTCATGCTACAAATGTCTCTTGAAATGCAGGTAATGTGTGGCAGGGTGTAAAGCAGTTGCCTTGGGAGAATTTGTGCTCCAGCGTAAAGGTCAGTGCACGTCCAGTGAGTGTATCAGAAGTAATAAACCTGGTCAGATGCCCAAGGGGCTCAGACTCAGTGCCCATAAAGAGCTCTTACGCAGCTGGCAAGTGAGCAAATGACGTATGGCCAAAGCCCTCAGTGAAGGCAATTACATATGGTGACCTGCTTACAAAAGCATTCTGCTCTAGTGCTCCTTGAAGGAGCCGTACCTCCAAGGGTACAGCTCAGATGTTGACCCCCCCGCTTCCTCTCTCCTCTTCAGTGTTGCCTTGGGTGAAACAGTTACCTCAAGCCAGTCTGGAGAGCAAGTATTTCTGAGGGCAGGTTTCCGCTGGGGAACATTCTTGTCTCTTGTATCATTGGGACATGCCTCTGCTCAGAGGAAAGGAGGAGCTCCTCCATGATTGAGCTGTCTCATCCATCATGTACCAAATCCATCTGGACAGGCCCTTCCCTAACTAGGACTGCAGTCACAGAAGCACCTTCTCTGTGGAACACTTTGCTGGCATGCTCTTGCTGCCGCAACTTCCCACGGAGTGTCCCACCGCCCCAACTGTAGTTGTGGCCTGTCATTGCCCTTTGAAGGGACAGGCGTCGTCCATACTCACTTGGTCCCATGAGGTGCCATGTCATGCCACTCCCTTCAGAGCCTGCTTGTTGCATTGTGGGTTGACAGTGTTAGCAGGGCTGGTGGGCAATTTTCTCACCTCTGGGTCTCAGGAATCACTCTTTGAATATTTTGCTTGGGGAGACACACAATAATTTAATTATTTTTCCTCACCAACACAATTGAACTAACACCCCAGAAATGTTTAGGATTGACTAAATGCATTTTTTGAGCCTCAAAAAAATATAATTTCTGTATTTTTTTTTACCAAAGATGCCAATAGCTTTGCCTTTGCTTCCCTTCTATCACCTGCTTTATTTCTTGGAGTGCTCAACTAAAGCCACAGGACAGGCTTGAAACCCTGCCTTGCACTGAGTCAGAGCAGCCGCCTTCCAGGAGCCTGCCCACGAGACATGGCCGCGGGCCCTTCTGGGACAGGGTGTGCTCACTCTCACCAGCTGCACCAAAGCACTTCAGAGTTTAATTGAGCTAGAGCAAACGTGTGAGAGGGACCATGGGTTACCCACAGGAGCAGTCAGAGCTGGCCTCTCCCTGAGGTGACTGACAGCAGCCACATCCCCCTTGGGCAGGGGGGTAAAGTATTTTCTCCCCTCACATCAGAAAGCCCAAAGAAATGTGCTGGAAATGAATATAATCACAGAGTTAACTGGCTTTTAAAGAAAAATAAACCACATTCCTCATAGAAGGTCTGTATATGTCTACATACACACAGCCTCCATGTGTGACCAGGAGAGAGACTGAAGCAATGTTTTTGGAGGGGCCCTCAAGACATTGTGTTTTTGGGGCTGAAGTGATTAGGACAGAGTTTTAAGTTGGAGAGAGTTAAGGGAGGTTTTTAGATGCCTGGGTACAGTAGGACTATAAGGGAACTACACACCAGTGGAGATGGAAAGCTACAGAGTAAAGGCAGGAGGACTGTCATATGGGTATATGGACCTGTGGGTCTCTAGGCTAAACCTTGAACCAAAAAGATTTTGAGTGACTGGAAGGAAGATGACTGGATGAAGGACATTTGGCCCCTAGAAAGTGGCCATGAGAGGACACTGACACTTTTGGGATGGGGGTGTAATGGAGATGGTCAACAGTGGGATGATAGTTGGTGCCGGAGGTAGCATTTGGTCAGTGGCTGGGCAGAGGTGGTAGGAGTTAACTGAGGAAGTACAAGGTACTCAGTCTCCT